GATTCGGGTTTTATTCTCGGGTGTTTAATACTTTCATCTGCCACAGTTTTGGACCGCCTGCCCAAATGACCGATGGTTTCGAGTCGAAAATTCTCCTCAACGAGGTAAGTGGGTAGACTCTATGAAGAAATGATCTTTTGTCTTCATATATATATATATATATATATATATATATATATATATATATATATATATATATATATATATATATATATATATATATATTAGTTGTTAATTTTAGAAGGTATGTTTGCGCATGATCATTGTTTCAAAGTAATTTTTTTTTATTTAAATCGATTACATTGTCACTTATATGTGTTGCCTGTTTCATTATACGTGGTGCATATACTAATGAATAATATAATATGCACCCAAGATAATGGAATATACACCACGTATAATGTAGCTTGCACCACCTATGGTGTAAAATGCATATAATGGAATATGCACCATACATAATGCACCAAGTATAATGTGATAAGCAATAAGCATAATGGAATATACACCACGTATAATGAAACAGGCAACACGTATAAGTGACAATGCACTAATGATTAATGTAATATGCACCCAACACAATGAAATATGCACCACGTATAATGACATATGTGCTACGTATAATGAAATAAGTACAGCATATATAAAAAGTAAAAAATGGAAGAAAGTCATGGCGTCTCATGGAGTGCACTTCGATGCAATGTATTATCTTTGTACAATCTTTTTGTCTTATGTAATCATTGACCACACTTAGATACAATGTGGTATATTTTATAAACTTTATCAGCCTTATAGGAACATGTCCTCAATGATCGCACTTCGATACAGTGTAGCACTTTTACAATTTTTATATGGCCTTTTGAGTCCATGTCATTGCTGATCAATGCACATAATCAAACCTCTCGATTTATATCTTTCCTGGAGGACTAACAGATACAAATACCTGCACTATTATTCTAAACGTGCTCTTGTAAATCTCCCCCAGCGACTGGGGAAAGAATAATTAATGAAGCCACGCCGATAACTAAAAGTAAAATGAAACGGCAATAATTGCTGTATGTATATATTTTTTCTTGATATTTGTAAGTCACATCATATCATCTATATCTTTCTTGGTATTTGCAAGTGACATCAGATCATCTATATCTTTCTTGGTATTTGCAAGTGATATCATATCATCTATATTTTTTAGTATTTGTAAGTGACATAATATCATCTATATTTTTCTTGTTATTTGTAAGTGACATAATATCTATATTTTTCTCGCTATTTGTAATTGACATAATATCATCTATACTTCTCTTGGTATTTGTAAATGACATCATAACGTCTAATTTTTCCTTGGCATTTGTAAGTGACATCATAACATTTAAGTTTTCCTTGATATTTGTATTTGACATCATAACATCCAAATTTTCCAAGTACATTAGTTTTCTGCGTACTAACATTTTTTAGCGTCATGATTCTTCTTCCAGTGTGTCAGGTGAAATGAAAACATCCCAAATGATATTAAAGTGATATAGATTTTTTAGCGTGGACCTATGCAGGAAGATCATTATCATTATGGTAGAGAGAGAGAGAGAGAGAGAGAGAGAGAGAGAGAGAGAGAGAGAGAGAGAGAGAGAGAGAGAGAGAGAGAGAGAGAGAGAGAGAGAGAGAGAGAGAATTATGAAAAGACACATGAATCGGTTCAACGAAGAAGAAAGAAAACGCACAATAATCTTCTTCATCATAGGTCCATCAACTAAATTCAAATACACACTTTAGTATCGTCATCCGAATTTAGTTTGATATATGTTTGCTGCATGTGGCATGTATATATTCTACAGCACTCACATTGACACAGTACGAATAAGTTAAAGAAAATAATGCATTGCACTATTTCCAGGTAAGTTTAAGTTGGACTATACAAAACTTTTGCAATATTAATTCAATGTTACTTCAGTGCAAATTACGAATGGTGACCATTTACGAAAAAGCACGAGTATGATAAGGTGATCAGTCAAAAATAATTGACGACAAGTATATTGACAGATCCCATTTCGAAATGAGATGATACCGCAAGATCATGGGCATCTCGTACATTGACAATGTAATCAACGAAGACGTCCACAACAGGATTCAACGAGCCGTCAGATTCTATGAAGACCTCTTGACGACTATAAAACTGCGCAAACTGATGTGGTACGGGCATGCCCCTAGATCGTCTGAACCGTCAAAACCAGTCTTGCAAGGTACAGTTCGATGGTGGAGAAAATGATGTAGACAGAAAAAGAGGTGGGAAGACAACATTAAAAAGTGGACAGGCATTGAATTTGGAGATTCCCAAAGGGGAGTAGGGAACAGAAAAAGATGGAGAGAATTTGTTGTAAACCATGTTTCCCCAACAACCTCTTGGATTAAGGGATTGATGATGACGCTAATAATGATGATATGACAGATGATGCGACATTAAAAAGAAAATCAGAAAAACGAGATGCTGGGAAAGAGGACCGTAATGGAAAGATGAGATCGAGGTGGAAACGATAGTTGGTCATATAAAACTGTGAATGAAAACCGTGATTATGCGATAAATCAGACGATGTTCTCTCGTGTGATACCACTGATAGGGGATACACATAGTACTGGCAGCGAAAACTTGACGCTAAAAAGCACTTAATTTCTCTACCACTACCCTTTTAGTCTCTCCACCCTAAAATAGTCCCAATATTCCATTCGCGCATGTTGTTGTTTTTATCGTTATCGGCTTGCATTTTTCAACCGTGAAAATCATTCCAGGTCAGCTGGTGCTTACGTATCTACTAATTATTACAGGTGAGACCAATGTGTAAATGTCACTTCTACTTGATATTTTGATTTTAAAAACAACAAACGAACAAAACCCATTAAATATCGAAGGAAGAATCAAAAGTATGTTAGGATGAAAAGAACAAAACTACAGGTAATGTAGCTATACAAAATAACAAACCTACCTTAAGGGTCAAATTGAAATGGGATAGTAAATGAATAAACGGTCACTACGTTACTGTGTACATAAAATCTACTGCATACGGATATATACAGCCTCGACTCATAGAGGTATCAAATCAGTATATAATTGCATAGATTACGAATGACGCAATTTCTTTTGTATTTTTTCTAATTAAACATTCAACTTTTAATTTATAATGCTTGATCTTAGCTTGTCACTGCGCTCTTTCGGTTACATTGCTGTGCACTATCTACTTTCGATTTATTTATTTTTGATTTGTTACAGTACATGTGAGGATTTGGTGGCAGAGATCAGCCAACCGCTTGCCACATATCCACGTAAATGAGACGATTTGATTTTAGACGGGTTATTTATAACTATGTCAACATACTGAATAAATACCTCATATCATTAAGTCGATAAGAGGCAAGTGCTTGGCAGAAATCTGCCACCACATGGATCTACATTCCTATTTCGAAAATTGCAAACAACCTTCCATGCTCCCCACCCCCTAACGGCACAGTGTGAGTGGATCCGCTGTTGCACGTACTGCATATGATGACCTGGCTATAACGTGGTACATGCATCAGATAACACAGATAAATAATATTATCAGGAAGTGACCCAATTAGGTACGATAAAAACATCGTACCTAATATTAGCCTGAAAAATAATTGCTGGCCCCCAATGGACAAACCGTGAAACTAAACGATGTTCCAGGTGCTAAATTATCATTCAGCATGATAAACAATCAGCTGTACACATGAAAATGTTGTTATAATGTCACGATCTTCCGAGAAGTGGGATTCGACGTCATTTCAATGAACCGCTAACGATTTAAGATTCTTTTTTTTCTCGGTAAATTAGGCCACCGCCCCATTATGCAAGAATATATATAAAACGTTCACAATATTGGAGCGAAATACACAATACACTTCCTATATTATAACTGACAAACACTGAAGCCAAATTGCCGCCGTTACGTGCAAAATACCGTATATGCCAAATCAGCCGAATAATGCTGAATCTTGAAAGAGCTTGGTCATAACATCTTTGTGTTCCATTACAACCAGCTCATATGACCGTTCCATCACATTGTGAGCCATTTAATATCTCCCTCGAAGCAAGATACACTGCCATTTTCCACATGTGTACGAATCAATCTGATGTTGATCGGAAACAACTGTGGGTCAACAGATTTCAATCGAAAGCTCGCACACAAGATTTGATGATGTCACTGTTGTAAACGTAAGAAGCTAACATCAGGCTGTGTCAGATTGTGTTTAGTCCTAATTCTCTTTTCAATGTATAATCAATCGCCCTAGCGGATCACAAATATTAACCCAAATATTAAGTTTTTATCGTAAATTAGATCCACTTAAAAATAAATAAATAAATAAATAAAACAAACCTGCACGCATCTTTTCATTCCCACTCGAATCAATGTGTGCGCCATGTGCGAATATTGTTGTTATTAGGTTCGTCACTAAAGAAATTTGTCGAATGGATATCATCACTACTTTTGGAACACTCAGGAAAAAGATCTGAATTAAAGAGTGGCACCTCTTAATTCCAAACTGAATATTTGAAGGTCGTTTAATCATTCCATCTTGATTATTTCAAAGAACGGTTAATGTTAGACCGATTTTTGGACAAATCATTCCTTCCATCCAAACTTTAGTTAGATTGGAAGAATGGTGGAATTTATGATAAACGGCGGCATTGGGGCTTTATGTACGGTTTTCTTGTCCAGCTAACAATATTATTCAATTCGAGATCACCTTTATCACGAAGATGTGACGGACACAGATTCGAGGTTATATCATGTTGACCGATACGATGTCATATTTTGTTGACCTTTAAATTCATCAATCAAATTACAACTTTCATATTTAGGAAAGTACAAACCTCATTCGAAACATGTTTCTAATGGCTACTCTCCCTAACTCGATATGCAACTCTTAACTCGATATGCAACTAAAAGAGAGTGGATATGGAATTGCAATAGTCACAATAACAAGAATCATTATCGGACCGCTATGGTGGTCTAAGTGGTCAGAACGTCCGCCACAGATGCGAGAGGTCGCGGGTTCGAACCCCTACCAAGTCATATCGAAGACTTATATAAATTATATCAGCAGCGGGATCGCTTGGCCCTCATCGTTAATATGTAAATGTTAAGACAGGTAGTCGTGGTCTCATGATAATATGTCTTGGTGCGGCATAATGCCCTAGTGCTTGGCATAACTATTAACTGCTATACTGCCGAAAAATAATTAAAGCTACGTTACAAATCCAAATCAGACAGATGAACCATTATCGGTGACCGTGAGATCAAAGTATTACAAGGATATCCTGATTTTAAGGAGACTAGATTAGTTAATAAGCACTTAAAATAGTGTGGAATTGAAGATGGCATCACGAAAATTATCTGTTTTATAAATGGATGAGTATGTCAACTTTGTTCTAAATATTTTCTTTAATGAACAAACAGTTCGCTATATTCGTCATCTCACAATAACAAAACTATTTCAGAGAAAGAGTTTACAAAGTGATATAAATAAATGAGCCCTTCATATTAACCTGATTATATTGTAATTTTATAAATAGAACACCTGAACACGAATGAAAGAAATTATTCTTAGGCCGAAATATTTCGAAACATTACCAAGAATACTTGATACATACCATTTTTTTTTACTGATTTACGCTTCGTGTCTAGTTTTGATCCATACTATCTGCTCTCTGAAACAAAATGAATGTATAAATATTTTAATAACTCCAGCTTCTTGGCAAATCCAGACATAGCCTAATAAAAATTTGAAGTGGAAAAAAATCACTCTTGTGATCCTCATGAAACTCGGCTACTGGTATATAACGACGCTATAGTGTGTATTATTTGGAAAAGTACCTAAAATTATACACTTATCACATTTTATTGCAAAATATTACATCTGCACGAGGTAACAACTCAAACCTTATATAAGCCAGGGTCATCAATGTTTATCATTTTCTTTTTATAGTAATGTCAATCTGAATTCGTTAATGTTGTTACTGTTGTTCTATTGTTGTTATTGTTGCTGTTTTATAGAGTATTTTTACAACACACAATTACCGTTCTATCCCACATCTCTCAAATACCTATACAAATGTTTCTTCTTATTGTAAAGTATCAATTTAATCAGTTATAGATTGAGACGTTTTTTTCTTCGCAAATTCAAATCTTGGAGTTATATTAAATCCACGTAAGTTCAGTTATTCTAAATTATGCAGTCGGTGCACATGTCAAACGTTTTCATTGGTTGAAACGAAAAAGTAGAAGAAAACAAATATATATATATATATATATATATATATATATATATATATATATATATATATATATATATATATATATATATATATATATATATATATATATTAATGAATCCATGTAATATTTTGTCACTTCTATTTTTATACAAAGTGAAATTGTATATTTATATGTATAGAGTGATGTGCGTATTACCCGAACGAGTGCCACAACTACAATGCTTTTAAACAATTTGCAATATTATCACAAACTTGGTAAATACAAAACATAAAAGACAAGAATATTGCAAAGCCTTAATTATTTTTTATACTTAGATTTCATTCTTTCTCTCTGAAACAAAGTGGCAGTGCGTTCAGTGTGCTCTGTATAAATTACATCATTTTTTGTTAATAGCAACAGTCTAACCCGAGACGTGAAAAGTCTAGAAATTCTCACACATATTATCACCGGATATTAAAATAGCATCAGTGATTTGTCAATATTATATGGCTTTAAAAAGGAAAATTATAAGTAAAACAAACGACTAGCAGATAATAATGAAAGCTGTTCAAATGCTTGGCTTGTAATTCCTATATCGATGCAGCGATAACCGTACGATGATGCAACCTGTTTAAAATTTAAATCCCAAGAAGGCTGGTCTTATAGTAACAAAGATCATAAACAGTTTATTGAAAGAGTAACTATTCGTGTGTCTGATCATCGCGCATTGCCTATTTTTGCTCTCTACTAGACAAAATAGCTACATGAAAGCATGTAAAATTACATTAATAACATTTGTATATTGCGAATTGTTTTAAAGATTTAACATCCTTTATGCATATTTTGGACATAAAATATTTATAAACTTTAGGAACAGATTAATAACATTTGTGAAAATTGTTGATATCTTTGTAGCTTTAGACTTCTGGCACTGTTAAGGTTTCATTTTTGTTTGTTTTTGAAGAATGATAGCAGGTTTGGATACAAAATATGTAGATTTCAATCTGATTAATTAAGTCCAACACCACCCACCCACCCCAGTTTTGTCGCTTGGTGTCACTAATGGAGACAACCTTCCAGCAATTGGTTCGTCCAATGCTGATGTTTCAGACGAGAGTGTCTTAGATTTGTGCCAATGCGCGGGTTTATATTTCAAAAGCCAATGAATGTTGATTTTGTAATGTAAGGATTTCACCTTTTTGCCGTTATCTTTATTTTGTATACCTTATTTGGGATTTATAAGCTTACTCGGCACTATGCAGTCAGGATTATGCTGGTATTCCGTTGAAGCACACATGCATACATACATACATACATACTTACATACATACATACATACATACATACATACATACATACATACATACATACATACATACATACATACATACATACATACATACATACATACATACATACATACATACATACATACATACATACATAGCTGATTAAGTCAATTTTACTGGTAAAAAATGTGACGAAAAGCTCTTGAAATTGTGTTTACGTTGATGTTATTATCGTCACAGAATTGGTGATATCTGATAATGTAGAGTCGGACGTTATCTGATGTAAATGATGCAGACCGAAACTATTTCAGAAAAAATAGTTCGCCAATTAATGATTTCGTTTGGGCTTTTTATAAATTAACAAATGTTTACACTATCTCAGGAGATAACAAGAAAACTTGAGTTACAATTTTTTACATTACATATTGCGCCCCCTGTGAACACTGCGCTTGAAAAAACAAATACTTTTAAACAGATTTTATATGATACTGAACTTAAAGTTTCTTTCATAGCTTTAAAATAAGTTTCTCTCTATAAATATGTTTTCAAAAAATTACTATCGCGCAGGGCCTCTGTGAGAGCTGCCGAAATGTTCAATCGGCTTAAGGCTGGCCATCTCCTTACCTTCTTTATGCGTGCCATGTTACAAAGCGTTATTGTTTCGCAGTTAGCGATTGCAGATTGCCTCCCTTAGGTTGATCGCTTGCTTCATTTCAAGTGTTAAATGACTAGAACTTTACCTATAAACACTCCACGTTTCTAACACACTGTTATAGTGGACATATTTAATCTTCAGTGGTACATTTAGAACATTGTTTATGTGCATAGCCAAGTGTTGCTAAACAAGGTGATGACTGCCTGAGGGCTAACAAATAAATTTTACTTCAACCGAATGAGAATCACTTGAAAATGCCCGGATTTAGAACAAATACCCTATAGGACTCACGGTACTAATTCTGTTCCCATAGTGAATCTATGCAAATACCATGATAAAAATGTAATAGCTTAAAATTTTTGAGTACTCATAATCAAACCTATATTTATTAGTTTACATGAAATCTTGATGTCAGCTTCTTTCTGTATAGGAGTAAGGATATGAACCGTCCCATTTTCTGAACCTGGTTTCAATTCCGCACCAAAGTGTCTGGTACTAATTTTAGTAATGAGTGTTCCAAATTCAAGACTGTTAATGGACTGAAATTCCATCAATAACACAATGTTTCTATTTTTTTTATTCATTTACAACTAGGATACGCTCTCAAGAGATTATTTTTCCTAAAACATAACTTACATTATTAACCAATCCTGGCCAGCCAAACCGTATATACTCTATTTTATGTTAGCACATTCCCAGGCTGGTTCCCATTTTTTCATACAATGTACCGTGTGCCCTAGAGTATGTCAAGGTGTAAATCTAGTTTTGAAAACAGCTGTACAGCTATATTGATAATGCTACGCTACAATTATATACAAGCATTTATGTACCTATTTAAGAATCAACATCTGTGGTTTTAAGTTAGAAACAAAGAAAATGACATAGATGATTTTAAGGGATTCGTTCCAGATTTCATAACACCCATGACCTACCTGTATACAACACACGGGCTGCGCGTAATCAGGCTAGTGTTAGGAAGAGTACGGGCTATTAGTGAATAGCACTATGCGGCGAACTTCGCTAATTTTGGGACAATTGTCTGTTAATGCAACTTATCGCAGTCATATACAAATTTAATAATACTTTGTCTCTGACATATCATGGAGATTTGCTAACTAATGATTGCATTTAACAGAAAGCAGTACGAAATCCTAAACAAAAAGAAAATAAAATGATTATGGAGTTCAACTTGCCGACGTTTGTGTAGGATGACCATCAGGAGACAAATTGTTGTGATTCAGCCAGTTTCGGAAAATCACTTGCGTTAAAATTCCCAGGCATTTCATTCAGGTGCAGATATTTCCAGAAAATGTATGATATATTATTTTGTGTTTTTTTTTTTTCTGACTGGGTGTGTTCATGTAAGGCAGTCTTGGTGTACTTGATTTAAATTTGAAAAATGTTGAAAAATGAAGAAAATGTGTAAGAAACATTTAGTATTGTCATTTGTAACTATTCAAAGAGGTTCCTCGCAGCGAGCAATGCATACCAAGTTTGCTTCTCGCACAGAAGAGCTTGCCAACTGGCACTTAGAGCTTATGGAGGCCGGATTGAAGGTTAAATTAATTAGAATGCTGAAGGCCTAAGGTGTATTTAAACATTGATCAGCGATATGGATAAAAGTATATTTTCTGTAGGTAAGTAATCATTATGTGTTCCTTACAAAATTCATTATGTCAACACAATGCGTTCGTTTGTCTACCAATTACAATTTCCGGGAGAGAACACAGCATTCAGTAAAGAAATTGCCGCCTGCACTGTGCTTATGGTCCTTACCGAATGCATGCCGGTCTCCGCAATCACGCAACTTCTCATCTCCGAGACATTCTCAATTTTGTTTTCCTGAAATACAGCACATAAACAGCAACAATATG